TCTACTCTCTCTCTCTCTCTCTCTCTCTCTCTCTCTCTCTCTCTCTCTCTCTCTCTCTCTCTCTCTCTCTCTCTCTCTCTCTCTCTCTCTCTCTCTCTCTCTCTCTCTCTCTCTCTATATATATATATATATATATATACATATATTATATTGACGCCGCCTTCTATATATATATATTCATATATTTTCACATATTCATACATTAGGCCTACATCTATATCTGCATGGGTGTCTGCGTATTTTTACTTATTTTATTTTCTTGCTTTATTTTATTTATTTCATTATTTCAACATGTCCTCTTTATGCAGCTGGTAATTTATATTTCCAAAAATGGTTTCTTACAATTACATGGTTCTGCGTGGTATCGAAATGTTTTTTTTCTTATACAAATCTAACAATTTTGCCCATAACCGCGTACGGAGGAGAACGTGTTGTCCAGCAGCAGCTGGTATAATGAGCAAACCTTTTCCCACGCAATTAAAACCGAAACACGCAATTCCCCAATTCGTTAGCTCAATGAGACTATGGCAAAAATGCAGCTGCGAACACACACACGGACTGACGGGCGGACGGACAGACAGAGAAACATAGCAACAGACAGACAGGTAGACAGGCGGACGGAATCGCAGGCGAAATGGCGGACGTACGGACGGACGGACGGACGGACGGACGGATGGACGAACGGACGGACGGACGGACGGACGGACAAACGGACGGACGGACGGACGGACAAACGGACGGACGGACGGGTCCGTCCGTCCGTCCGTCCGTCCGTCCGTCCGTCCGTCCGTCCGTCCGTCCGTCGGACAGACGGACGGACGGACGGACGGACGGATGGATGGATGGATGGATATATGGATGGATGGATGGATGCATCGATGGATGGATTGTTGGATGGATGGATGAATGAATGGATGGATGGATGGATGTATGAATGGATGTATGGATGGATGGATGAATGAATGGATGGATGGATGGATGGATGGATGGATGGATGGATGGATGGATGGGTGGATAAATAAATCAGGTAGGCGTTAGTTATGTAAGGTTAAGTATAATTCATTATTAAATTGCATTACCTAGAATATTTCTTAGGTGTTGTGATCTTATACGCCTACATCACACACACAAGTTGTTTTAATTATGATTAGATTTAAGCACTATTATTTGAGTTAACCTCAGCGCTTACGAAATTAAATACATGGGAAATCCTGTTGATGCATGCAATTGATGTTTGCAATCAATGATTCCATTCAATATCGTATGAGATTTAATAGAATGTCATTGAAATTAATTTGCTGTCTCGGACCTAAACAGAGTCAAAGTTATCCTGATATCAATCACTAATCACATAACGACTTATCGACGCTATGTAATCACATAAAATATTTGATTCTGCAATGTAATGATTTATTTCAAGGTTTCAGAAAATGTCTTGACTATGTAATTAGAGCTGTAAATTATAAATACAATGTTAAGTGAATATAAAACCTACGTATTATATGCATTAACATAAACTTTGGGCATATTAAACAAATAAAAAATCCTACATAGGCAATCGATTATAATGTTTTCATTAATACTGCAAACTATGCTACGTTGAAACAAAAACAAATTTCATGATATAATACAATAGATATGATAGACTATCTATGATATAATACAATGACGCATATGTAATATATGAACCATAACGCGTCATAAACCGTGTCAAAACCATCACGTAATAATGAATGTAATGCCGTTTTTAATATCCAAGCCACATTATCGTTTTGTCTGATGGCTACTTTTTGAACTTTGCTGCATGGTGACGCAAAGCGGTGTACTTACCAAGAGGTCGCAACTCGAAGCAAGGAAATAGAAGTGATATCACAGACGGCTTGAGCCACGACTATCGCACCGAAATTTATCGTCGGCCCGACTGTTTCCCCCTCCCCTATTGGTTGGCACCTGTGCACACGTGATGAGTCCAATTTCGCACAACCGCTCTTGGGAAAATCTACAGATTGACGTTTCGGACGCTGTCCGCGGCCTACGAGACGCCATTTATCACGATTGCCATTCGCCCGATATCAAAGCCAATATGACCCGCGAGTGGTGACGATGGAGCCGCCGACCGGTTTTCATGCAAATGCCTCTGTTTGATTTCCTGCATTATGCCGGGAAGGTGATGTGGCACGTTTTGCTAAGCAGAGCCGGTGCCGGACGTAAGAATGTTAGTGAACCATTGTGCGCGTCCCTCTCCTTCTGTTCCTTGTTTCTCGGCTCGCAGAACAGTTGGACGGGCAATTCGTTAAGCAGCATAGCGCTGTGGTCGCGCTCGATAACTCAGTCGTCTAAACAATCGCGCGAGGTGCTCTCAAATTTTGTTTACAGCACACAGATTACACGCAATTGTCGCGGTTAAACGGATTGTTTGTAAATAACAGCTGCCTATACCTCAACTGTGAAAAGGCGTGTACACTGACTCATTGAGTGCGTGGTGAGCAGGGCCTATTCATTTGGAACTCCGTAGGGGTGTCGGGGTCAGAAGTTAGTCTCACGCTCCAGGTAAGCGCGATGGAGAATACCAGAAGATTATTTCAGGGCGCGATGTCGAAAATGGCGTTTAAACGTGCAGGCTAGGATTTCGTGCAGGATGTTCGTGTTCATTACAAACGTGTTAAGCTATTGATCGACGCAGTTATTAGATTGTTAGAATCAGCGCCTCGTGTAAAATCTGTGTGCATCATAGTTCGCCGATGAGAAACGTAAACAGACATCACGGGCCCCTTCCGTGCGGCGCTCGTTCCATAACGCCTCGATACGATGGCAGTCATTAACATATATTGATAGTTTACAAAATAATCATCGAAATAATACGACGAACACTTCTTGCACCTGTATACGTGTGTGCGATACAACTTGTATTCTGCATCAGAGAGCAGATGCTCATCTTACGCGCGATATTGTGAACAGATAACGCAGTCCTCTGCATAGTTAAACCCTCCCGCTGAAGGATAATGCGAGCCACAGCCTTTGGTTTTGGACACACCTGGTTTCGTAAACTAGACCGCACGGTTACAGTAATAGTTGCGACTGTCTGACTGTACGCACATCTAGGTCATATTTAGCGCATTATAACATTATAGTAATAGATTATAATATTGATATTGTAAACGTCTATCATCCTGGTAAATTCTTACATGCGGGGTGTAAGTTTTTATCGATACTTAAATAATAATACTACTAATAATAATAATAGTATCAGTAACAGTAATGATGATAATAATAATATTAATACGCACAGTCACAGACTCAAGTTCTAATCATATGGATAGTGGATCCTATATAAATCACACTGTTATCAATGCAACGGCCACTATAGTGAAACACAGCTATGAATGCACAATAGCATGCTTATAGCCACGTAATAAATAATGGTGCAATTAGGTTATCCTGTTGCGTATACCGGAAACATCAACTATGACTAGACTGATAGGCAAGCAAATATAGTAGCAAAACATCTACGATAATTTGCTGCCAGCAATTAACATATTAGACACATTCTATTTCCTCTTCATCTCAAGCTAAATTTAACAGTTGCATGCAAATTACAAGTAATTATTAGCGTTCATTGACCCACGTTTTTCGCATTACTTTATGCATTCTGAACCAACGAATTTCCATAATAATGATAATTTAGAGTGCCATATATGTAGAGTTAAAAAAATGTTGCCGTTTAAGTGAATACTAAAACATTGACACTATTACAATTTTATTTTATTCTTTATCGGAATCGTTCCTTAAGGAAATGCGTGAGAAATACAAATACAGTTATGCACAGCAGAAATAGAACAAATAGAGAAATAAAGATCTTCATCTTTAATCTACCCCACAGTTTATAAGAAGTTACGGTGGCTTCTGTACAGATTTTGCTGCATTGTCTTTGAACATGGTTGTTTTTACTGGTGGAACGTGCCACGGGCTCTTCTGGCCAGATAACGTCATTCATGTTAACGTCATCGCTGTCTTTCAGGCAGTTTTCTGCACTCGTTCGTTTCTCTGGAATGTCCCTTGCTGCTGTCTGGCATAACGTGTTGTCATTTTTTGCCAATGACGATGCGCACTGAAATATGTATGAACGAGGTCCAGCGATATATATATATATATATATAATATATATATTTATATATATATATATATATATATATATATATACGATGCCAATGTTCTCGATAGTTATTACATACAATAATTACAGATATAGATCAAACGCACGCAACTTTGAAAACATTACTGCGAAATGTCGTGTACACTCACATATGAAAATAGTACACGGATAAAATCACAGACAAAGAGGCTGGGCATGCAGACAGCACTAGGTAAAAGCAAAAATACGCATCACGCACAAGATCGCAATAAAACGTGATAACGATGCGTCTGAAATACAGCTGAAATTTGGTTTTTAAAACGGAAAACTATGAGCGCACGTTCAGAACATACGTTGACAGTGCGTAATTCCTGGTGAGCGTTCGGCACATGATCAGATGCATACGTGAAGTACCAGTTGCTGCCGTGAAACGGCTCTCTGCTCACTAGCACAGCGTTCCGGGTTATTTTAGCGCCGACATGACTAGGCTTTCTCTCATCCACGACCCCAGAAACATTGATAGACGAATGCATTTCTGTAGTTCTAGATAGGACAGTTTGCGTTTCTATCTTTCTATGTATCCTGCCGCATATGATACAACGTCATACTCGCACGTAGACACACATATCACGTCACGCTCGGCATTCAGTCAGAATGTTTTATTTCAGTCGGAAAACTTAGCAATTAAATTTGGCACAGATTCGGATGTTCTAATTTTGCTCGTTATTTCGGTAAAGCGTAAATATTAAATAAGCGTAATCGGTACAGTATTGGCACGTGACGGTGAATTTGTGTAACAACCGGTTACGCGGTGGTATACGACGTGATTAAAGCTAGGGGGTTCGTTTGCCGTGGGCACTGCCCGTGTATAATGCGAACGCCCTCGAACTTTTCAGCCAGCTCCCATCTCGGATTAATAAGGCGTGGTTTCTCGAGGCTTTCCAAAGGTAGAAAGAGCGGCAATTTACGGTAATTAACGGTAACTGTTTAATTCCGGCGCTTAATGCATACTTAAGCGGTAATAATTCACCTACTCGTCGAAACCTTTCTGAAACTGGAATGCGAGCATTTTTTATGTTTACATACATCATCGGTAATCAAGTCAGTCGTTTCGCTTTTAGAGTGAGCCATTTCAGGATGCACATCATATATATTGCAACATATATGATAGAGAGTCTCCGCTTCATATCAGCACCGTTGAACAATGCAAAGAATATCATCATAGTCACTCTATAGATATGTGCAATAATGTTGTGTGTTACTCTTCTAAAGGACCATTATATACAGAAAATTCCGGCTCGCTGTCTTCTTGCATGTGTGATGTCTACACGTAAAGCGTAAAGCTCCAAGCGAATATATCACGTGCAATTCGTCTCCCCACAGTTTATTAAAAATTGATTGCGTTTAATTTTCTCAAGTTCATTAATGATCTTGAAATTAATGTTGCCTAGTTCACGCATATCACGTGGCATCGTTCTGGTCATAAATGATATTCGTTAAGTGTATTGTATAATATATGTAATGTTATATAATAATATGTATATGCACGTGGATGTCCGACACGCCACTAAGCAGATCGAGTTAGCAATTTCCTATATCATGCCAGTTGTTGTTAGGTCGTGTATTTATAGAAATTATGAAATCTCTATACGGTTTGTAATGATTTGCCATGTTAACCCTGATTTTCGTTTTAAAGGCTTTTATATCTTTATTATCAATACAATTTTCAACTACTCGTTAATGAATGTACATGGTGACGCGCAACACGTAGCCTTACAAGTCGGGTTACATTGTCGACAGCACGTATTAGGTGCCCTGGTTTAAAGACCGCGCAACGGACGCATGTGTGTGTGTGTGTGTGTGTGTGTGTGTGTGTGTGTGTGTGTGTGTGTGTGTGTAGTAGCATCCGTCCATGTAAATGCTTCTGGTATTCGGTGCTACCAAGTTCTAAGCGCCGCCAAGCTCATTAGAACCGGAGGATAGTCACATAGGTATCTCCGTCAAGCCCATGTTTCTTGTTACGATGCGAGTCGCGTGGTGGCCATGATCAATTGTGAGTATTCAACCCTGTGGCTTGGCCATATGCCGTCGCTTTAGCATTGTCAGACATTTAACATCAATCCATTATTGACGCTAGTCCATGCGGACCGTGTCAAAATAGCCTTTTAACGTGGCAGCTCGTGACCGATGTACACGCAAGTAAATTACCTACGAGAGACTGTGAC